TGTGCTTCTTTATCTCTTCCTGTTCTCTTCCTTCACAAAAATTTTTAATCTTAACTCCTCTCCTGATAACCCTAACTGTTTTTCCCAGATTTATGTATTCTGCTAGGTTTGCCATTTTAAAACTGATTATTGTAACTTGTTACTTTTTGAAACTTTTAAATTTAAGATATAATTCCGTATTATTTAATTGATGATACCCTTCTTTAACTAAATAATTTAGATTTTAAATTTAATTATATCCCCTGACTAATTTTTATACTCAACTAATAAATAAACAAAAAAATTATCTATTTTACTTAAAATAGGAATAATAGAATATCACAATCAAAGAACCTGAAACTAGAAAAATAGAAAACATTGTAAACAATGTAATGAGTTGATTCTTTTTTCCTTGGTCCTGGTGATGGCTCCCTTGCTCTTCTGCTGTTGGAATGGACTGGATTAGGTTTGTGGCCCTGGATGCTCCACTGCACGTCTTTACTGTCTCTGGACACGCTCTTCTGATCTTTGTAAGACACTGCTCTTGTCTTCTGTCGTGGTCTAAGTCTGTAGATGATCTTAAAAGACTACCATTAGTTTATGCTCATTCAATAATTCAAATATGTCCAAAAGTCCTTATACCGTGTAGTTTAACAATCTACACTGAAGTTGATCAGTTGGCACAGATCATTAAATGTAAACAGTTAGCGCATATTATTTTCACTTTAATAGTCACCACAAACTGTTTATAAATGTTAGATTCTCACTGAAATACTTTTCTTACAGAGAATGTATGTAGTTTTACGCTACAACCTATACGGACGTATTACAAACATTTAGTAGTAAAAGTACTACTTCTGGTGCTGACTGGACCCCGTTCTTTTTTATTGACAAGTATTTTTGACCTGAGGCATTCACTTGTGGACGGTGTGCTGTACGGTTGTCTCGAGTTAGCTGTCGCTGATGCTACTGTGTTGTACTTGACCGTTGTTGATGACCTTGCTCGCTGTAACTGAGTGCCGTCTTGGCCCCTGGCAATGTAGTGTTCTTGAGGTGAAATCTAGTCCGAAATTAGTATCTCTGGTTTATGACCTCTTGTTTGACGAACAAAACCCACGTTAAACAACGATCACAGAGATACTGCTGCATACAATTTTCCGTCGTGGATTACCCACCACAAGGGTCAAAAGTTCAGCTTACACAGTCTCTTCCAGCGACGAACAAGCGTTCCCACATCGCGGGATGAAACTTGTGCAATTTTTTCACACGTGAAGTGAATACATTACCCAGTATTGTTTCGCCGTGTTTCTGCCAATTTTTCTCAGGCTAGCTTGTTTGTTTCAGAATGACTAGAGTCTGGAATTCAGTTGTCCCGGTTTTACTTAATGCCCTTGACAGCATGTCCTGGTCTTACATAATACCCCGACATTTCTTTAAACTCCATCTTCCAACACACATAGTCACTCAAAACTTACGGCTGCCGGTATTTGCCTAAATTTTACTTCTGTCCACAAAAACACTTCGTCTACTGTACTGGCGTAGTTAGAACAAGCCTGCACTGTAACTCATACTTATAACTTACAATATATTCGCACTTAGGACGGGTCCCCAATGTAATAACTGCCCTTTTGTGTCTCCTCCACACTGGCTATCTGTGGTGCAGAGTTAACACTGGCTCTGAGGTCTAGAGGTTCACAACTCAATCAAAGCAGACATGATCCTCTTCATGGTCACACAACGTCTAACAACGGTTAACACCAGCGGCACATTTCACGAGTTTATTTACACGTTAGCTCAATACACAAATCACAGGTGAATCCACTTACAGCATTCGGACAATAGACGTTGACATATTCACAGCTGGCTTTGACAATCAAACAGGGTACCATCACAGCTGGCCTTCTCGATCATTCATTCCTCGCCGATTCAGATCCACATGCTCTAATCATTCTCCATTCATATTCACAGCTTCATTTTCCATCCTTTCTCTCTGGGGCCCAGTCACCGAATGCCCGCCTGATTCTCAATCCCCCAGATCTCCTCATTCACACGTGACACACTCTTTCCTGTCGTTTCACCATATCTCCGTGAAACCCATGCTCTCAGGGACTTCCCCAGTTATGCCAATCATCCCCTGACATTATCTCTATTTATAACATCATTACAGCCAGCAACAAAGTATATACATACATATATGTGTGTTGCGTGTTGTCTGGACGCATATATAAATACAGAGTCAGAGAAGTGGGGCACGAGGAGTATCGTCTAATCAGAGAAACCTGGATCAATGCAGCAGTTTTCGCCCATGATGCGGATAAATGTTTCCACATAGATATTGATCTCGAGAATGAGCCAGTTGCTACTTCACTGGATCTCTGAAGCCCTCTTCCAACGGAAAGTAGTTTTTAGATGTGACAGTTGGTCTTCCGAACTTAAAAAATACTAGGGCTGTACCAAATATTCGCTTCGTATTCGCTTCAGGGCCGAATAATGGACGTAAAAACTATTCCGTAATTAGCCGAATATTTGCGGTTGGGCCGAATACAAATAGTGGTTACCTACACCCATTTCTGCATACATTGCGATGGGCTGAAATAACTCTCACATTAACACAATAGTTACTGTTGCATAAGTCTGTCGTAGCGGGGAAAACTGCGACCAGGTTTCGTGGTACAGCAGTTGGCAAGGTCTTTGCCTACTGACTTGACCGAAGCATTACAGCAGAGTTTCTCAAACTGGGTGCGTATGCCAGGGGTGCCGCGGCGAAAATCAAGAAAAGTCAGCTATTAATTGTGACATTATTAAAGAAGGCATATAGATACTTAAAAGTTAAAATTTAAATTATTTTTCCTCTCCACTGTCGAAAATAGTTTTTTTTCCTTGTTTCACACTAAAAGTGTATCATACTGCATAAAATACCAACTGCAGCGTGCTAAAAATTGTCTTTATATTTAGCTCGAGGTGCGACCGATCCTCCATCTGTATTCGTGAAGGTACAGCGGATAAGTAAGATTGTGATTACATTTTGACTGAAATTTTGAAGTGGAAAATGTGGTCTGTACAATAGTAACTATTAGCCTCGTCAAGTAAGCACTTATATTTAAAGGCAATGTGTTGTGATTCCTCGACAATCGGTAGGCAGGCTAAACAATTTCTTGAGGCCTCAGAGATGTGGTTTTACAGAACAATGCTTAAAATACCTTGGACACACACACACACACACACACACACACACACACACACACACACACACACACACACACACACACACACACACACACACACACACAAAGCAACTAAGAGGTTTTGAAAAAGGCGGGAGCCCGAAGACAACTAATCACAGACATCAGAAGGAAACAGTCATAATTGTTTCTGCCATGTTATGAAAAAAGGGAAAATGGAACATGTGGTGACCACTGGAAAGATCTGTTGAAGGAAGGAGGGTTAGAGGAAAACAACGAGAGAAGATTCTTATGGAGGTGTGTCAGCACATGAACTAATACAAGCGGAAGGAGATCGCACACTGTGGTGAAACATAATCGCCCTCGCCAGTCAGCAAGTCACCTGATGATGATGATACACTATTCATATTCGTATTCGGCCGAATAGTTGGTCCCGCTATTCGTATTCGGCCGAATAGTGAAAATCACTTTACGGTACAGTCCTACAAAATACATCTCGGCCTGTTACAAGGGTCACCTTTACCTCTCGTGCTGTTCAACGTTTTACATTGTGAGAACCACGAGTGAGCAGATCACGGGACACGGGAAGACGCTGACGTACGGTGACGATTTGTTAGTGTATCGCCAGGGTAAAGACGGAGAGCAGGTTGCTGGAGAACTACAAAAAGAACTCAATGGCATCAGCAATTGGTGTGGTGACGCTGGTACATTGGTCAATGCAGCAGTGTCATGGTTCTCTTTGAATAATCATATGTCAATATGCCAACGCTAACTGTAAGTCTATGCTCAGAGAAGGTGAAAAGAACACAGGCAATGAAATACCTGGGGATACGATGTTATCGCAGCCTATCTTATACTGAGAACATACACCAAATGATAATAAAAGCCAAGCGGGGCGTGGCTGCAATGAGAATGTTGGAGTCAGACAAACTATGGCTACTGACTGGCACCAACACGAAGACAATCAAGGAGTTAGACAAACTATGGCTACTGACTGGCATCAACACGAAGACAATCAAGGAGTCAGACAAACTGTGGCTACTGACTGGCACCAACACGAAGACAATCAAGGAGTCAGACAAACTGTGGCTACTGACTGGCACCAACATGAAGACAATCAAGGAGTCAGACAAACTGTGGCTACTGACTGGCACCAACACAAAAACAATCATGGTGTCAGACAAACTGTGGCTACTGACTGGCACCAACACCAAGACAATCAAGGAGTCAGACAAACTGTGGCTACTGACTGGCACCAACACGAAGACAATCAAGGAGTCAGACAAACTGTGGCTACTGACTGGCACCAACATGAAGACAATCAAGGAGTCAGACAAACTGTGGCTACTGACTGGCACCAACACAAAAACAATCATGGTGTCAGACAAACTGTGGCTACTGACTGGCACCAACATGAAGACAATCAAGGAGTCAGACAAACTGTGGCTACTGACTGGAACCAACACAAAAACAATCATGGTGTCAGACAAACTGTGGCTACTGACTGGCACCAACACCAAGACAATCAAGGAGTCAGACAAACTGTGGCTACTGACTGGCACCAACACGAAGACAATCAGGGAGTCAGACAAACTATGGCTACTGACTGGCATCAACACGACGACAATCAAGGAGTCAGACAAACTATGGCTACTGACTGGCACCAACACGAAGACAATCAAGGAGTCAGACAAGCTGTGGCTACTGACTGGCACCAACACGAAGACAATCAGGGAGTCAGACAAACTATGGCTACTGACTGGCACCAACACGAAGACAATCAAGGAGTCAGACAAACTGTGGCTACTGACTGGCATCAACACGACGACAATCAAGAAGTCAGTCAGACAAACTATGGCTACTGACTGGCACCAACACGAAGACAATCAGGGAGTCAGACAAACTATGGCTACTGACTGGCATCAACACGAAGACAATCAAGAAGTCAGACAAACTATGGCTACTGACTGGCACCAACACGAAGACAATCAGGGAGTCAGACAAACTATGGCTACTGACTGGCACAAACACGAAGACAATCAAGGAGTCAGACAAACTATGGCTACTGACTGGCACCAATACGAAGACAATCAGGGAGTCAGACAAACTATGGCTACTGACTGGCACCAACACGAAGACAATCAGGGAGTCAGACAAACTATGGCTACTGACTGGCATCAACACGAAGACAATCAAGAAGTCAGACAAACTATGGCTACTGACTGGCACCAACACGAAGACAATCAGGGAGTCAGACAAACTATGGCTA